TGGGGCGCCTGGGTGGCTCAGTGGGTTGAGCCGTTGCCTTCGGCTCAGGTCATGATCTCAGGGTCCTGGGATCGAGCCCCGCATCGGGCTCTCTGCTCAGCAGGGAGCCTGCTTCCTCCTCTCTACCTGCCTCTCTGCCTGCTTGTGATCTCTCTCTGTCAAATAAATAAATAAAATCTTAAAAAAAAAAAAACAAAAAACTATGTATCCTTTAACTAGTATTCCTTTTTTTTTTTTTTTTTTAAGATTTTTATTTATTTGACAGAGAGGGAGACAGCGAGAGAGGGAACACAAGCAGGGGGAGTGAGAGAAGTAGGCTTCCCACTGAGCATGGTACCTGATGCAGGACTCTATCCCAGGACTTTGGGATTATGACCGGAAATGGAGGCAGACACTTAACAACTGAGCCACACAAGTGCCCCTTAACTAGTATTCTAAATTGCTCACTACAACTAATTGTCAAATAGAGATTGAGTTCATTATTTCACTAGTGCTAGTGTACTACCATGGACCAAAAGTAGTAGGTACAGTAGTTCAAAATACTTTTTGTTTTAAACAAACAAATTTTATCAACACAAGGGGAGGTGCCAAACACCTAGAAATATACAGAAAACTTGATTTGTTTGGAAGACACCAAAACCTGTTAATATAATTGATGCATAGAAGCATAATTTTTAAAATACTTAAGTATGAACTTTTTTTTTTTTTTCTCAAAGACTTTATTTATTTATTTGATAAACAGAGATCACAAGCAGGCAGAGAGGGAGGAGGAAGCAGGCTTCCTGCTAAGCAGAGAGCCTGCTTCCTCCTCTCTCTCTCTGCCTGCCTCTCTGCCTACTTGTGATCTCTGTCTGTCAAATAAATAAATAAAATCTTTAAAAAAAAAAAAGAATAAAATAATAAAACAGAATAAAGAGAACAAAATAAAATTTTAAAATGAGAAATTCAACTCACCAGCAATTTCTACAATATCACCAGGAACTATGTCTTTAGCTTTAATCCGCTGGATACTCTTTCTGTCCTGTCGGTATACTTTGCCCATTTCAGGCTCATATTCCTTAAGGGCTTCGATTGCATTCTCAGCATTTCTTTCCTATAAAAAAAGATGAGAGTCAACACACACTTGCCGTTGCAAATTAGTATTTTAGGCCAAGAAATAAAATTTTAGAGTTCTAAACTTTAAGAAAAAGACACAAAAGATACACATTGATACTTATAAACAATTCACATATGATGATAAACACTAGGCTCTTACAATTTTGTGCTAAGAAATGAAGAATTAAGCACCCTAACAGGCCTAAACAGGGAATAAAATCCTAATAGAAAAAGCAGTTACAGAATCTGCTGTCCCCAAGCCCACTGTGTAACACCGCTTTCACCTCCAGCCACAGCCACACCACTGAAAACTGATCCTGTCGCACATGAAAGGTGATGGTCTGGGGCTGGACTGCCTAGGTTCACTCCAGGCTTTTCCACTTAACTATGTGACGATGCAGGAGTTACACAACACACCGGTTTGGTACCTACCGGTACCAAAACCTGGACACCAATGCTACTGCCTCAAGGGATATGAGGATTTACAAACTATTTACACTATGTTTCAGCACATAATACATACTATGAGTGATGAATTAAGAAAATCAAGTTACATCTCACAAATTCTAGGAAATCTTTCTGCAGTAGTCAAGACTAATAAATGGGTGGAATCTCATCAGAGAACTGATAGTCCTGGAATGCCTGGGTGGCTGAGTCATTTGAAATGTCCAACTTTTTTTAAAGATTCATTTATTTTGAGAGAGAGTATGCACATGCAAATGTATGGGTGGCAAGGGCAGACAGAGAGGGAAAGAGAACCTAAAGCAGCAGATGAGTGCAGAGCCCGAGGTGGGGCTAGAACTCATGACCCTGAGATCATGACCTGAGCTAAAGCCAAGAGTCAGACACTTAACTGACTGAGCCACCCAGGTGCCCCAAGGAGCTGACCCTTGAGTTCAGCTCAGGTCATGATCCCAGGGCTGTGAAACTGCACCATGTTGGGCTCTGCACTGGGCATGGGCCCTGATTAGGGTTCCCTCTATCCCTTTCCACCTCCCCACTAAAAAAAAACAAAAAAACCCGTAACATATATACTATATTTACTATAATACTGTATATGAACATGTCAAATCCTAGTCACAAATAGCTTTTCTTTCCAAATTTTGAGATGAAAGATGTAGAAATCAACATGTTTAAAAAAAAAAAAAGGCTATAGGAAAGTTCCATTAAGGAAAAAAAAAAAAAAAAAAGAAAGAAAGGGAAAGAAAAAGAAAAGTAGCACATGTGCCAAATTTGTCTTAGCTCCTTTCAGAGAGTAAGCAATTAGAAGTCAAGGAACAAATCTACACGGTGCATGCCCAGGAGACATCACTCAATGCACAAAGGATTCATTTCTCTCACTTCTCATTTTTTGCCCTCTGATATAAAGCTCAATTTAACCTTTGCCTGGGTAGAATTTATGCACAATACTACATGATCTCATTTTTTAAAAAAAGATTTTTATTTATTTGAGACAGAGAAAGAGAAAGAGCACAAACAGGGTAGAGGGGCAGAGGGAAAGGGAGAAGCAGACTCCCCGCTTAGCAGGAAGCCCAATGCAGCGCTCAATCCCAGGACCCATAGAACACAATCCCAGCTAAAGGCAGATGTTTAACTGACTGAGACACCCAGGCATCCCTGTGATCTCATTTTTTACCTTAGTGTAAGATTTATGGTCTGTCGCAAAAAAATCCTAAAACCTGCTTAAAGTGAAGTTAGAGGACTTAAAACTGAAAGCTAATAGCATGAGTCTCACTTTAAATGTTTACATCCCTGAAAAAGTATAGAATATTTTAAATTTGGGAAGCTCATGATAAAAATAATTTCAACCCCATATCGGATCTGCTTGAAGAAAACCTGTATAACAGGTATTAACAGAAATACTAGAATATTTAATTCTAATTAAATGCCATTGCTATAAGGTCCTTACGTTCAAATGCTACTGATACTGTAAAAGAATAAATTCTCAGCACTGCTGATACTCGATTAGTCAAATCTGAAACCACTTTTTTCATAGGACTACCTCTCCCATTTGTTACTTGTAGCAGTTTTAATTCCTTTTCTCCCTCTTCAAGGTCATGTCAGGTAGAGTTTAACTAGACTGCTCAAGGTTAAGAAATATCCCAGGAGCACTGTATTTTACTTCTACTCAAAATTAGCAAAAGTATATTTAAATTAGAAGCATGAAAGAGAAATTATCTCAGACCCTAAGGACAAAAATGCCAATTAAAATTACTTTAAAAGTCTTCCCCTCAAATGATCAAAAGGAACATTTAGAAAGTAGGGTGGGAAAGGGAAACAAATGATCACATATTCAAATAGGATATATCAAGTGCTCACTTCAGCAGCATATATACTAAAATTAGAACAATTTTCGGTTTCTGTGATTCTTGGTGACAATCACTTGTCACCTTCTTTAATGACACTGGTCAGCAGCATGTGCCTCCCCACCTCCAATTACTACCTTACGCTATACTTATAATTTCTCTTCCAGAAGGCAGTAATTCTTTAGTATTGCTCACACCATTCTGTATACCACGTAAATGAAATTAAGACATAAGAATGTTGTTTTTTAAATGAAAATAAATATAAAAGTCCTATGAATGGGGCACCTGGGTGGCTAAGTGGGTTAAAGCCTCCGCCTTCAGCTCAGATCATGATCCCAGGGACCTGGGATTGAGCCCAGCATCAGGCTCTCTGCTCAGTAGGGAGCCTGCTTCCCCCTCTCTCTCTGCCTACTTGTGATCTCGGTCTGTCAAATAAATAAATAAATATATATATAAAAGCCCTATGAAAACTGCTATAAGTTTTTACTTTAGAATTTGGATCAGCCTGGGTCTGGATTCAAGTCCCAGATACTTTGTACTACCTGTATGGCCTTTAAGAGGTCAGTTGATCACTCTGAACCTCAATGTCACACCTGTCAAGTGGGAATATCATTTGCCTCATAAGATCACTATAACAATGAAATGGGAATGTACATAAAGTATCTACCTTATAACTAGCATAAATTATTTAATAGGAAAATATACATTACTGCTTGAGAAGGACAATCAAATGCTCCATTATTGTCTCTTTTGCCTATACTAGTGACAAGAGGATTACTTCTACTTAGACAATTTTAGAAAAAATAAAGAGAAATATAGCACAATAAAATGTTCTTCTAAGCAGACCATCTTTCTTTCCTTCCTTTTTTTTTTTTTTTTTTTAAAGATTTTATTTATTTGACAGTCAGAGACCACAAGCAGGCAGAGAGGCAGGCGGGGGTCGGGGCGGGGGGAAGCAGGCTCTCTGCTGAGCAGAGTCCTACAGGGGGCTCGATCCCAGGACCCTGAGATCATGACCCGAGCCAAAGGCAGAGGCTTAACCCACTGAACCACCCAGGCGCCCCAGCCTTCATGTTTATTAGTAAGATCAGAAGTTTACAATTTTTTAAAAAAGATTTACTTATTTATTTTAGAAAGAGAGAGTGCAAGTGTGTGTGTGGTGAGGGTTAAAGGCAGAGGGAGAGGGAGAACCGCAAGCAGATTCCCTGCTGAGCTGGGAGCCTGATATGGGGCTGGATCTCATGACCTGGGCCAATATCAAGAGCTGACTCCTTAAATGACTGAGCCACCCAGGCTCCCCATAAGTTTACAATTCTAATAGGACTAAGTATGCTTATAAAATGTTTCCACTTTGAGAATGTAGATGCAGGGGCACCTGGGTGGCTCAGTGTTTGGTTAAAGCCTCTGCCTTCGGCTCAGGTCATAGTCTCAGGGTCCTGGGATTGAGCCCCGCATCGGGTTCTCTCTGCTCGGCGGGGAGCCTGCTTCCCCCTCTCTCTCTGCTTGCCTCTCTACTTGTGATCTCTGTCAAATAAATAAATAAAATCTTAAAAAAAAAAAAAAAAAAAAAAAATAAAGAACGCAGACGCACTCTATTTTAGTCCTCGAAGGGGTGATTATACCATATTTAAGTATCAATATGCAAGATGAATCTGAAGTGTTAGTCTCCATCTGTTAAAATATATATATATATAAAAAAAAAAAAATCATGGGGCGCCTGCATGGCTCAGTGGGTTATTGCCTATGGCTCAGGCCATGATCTCAGGGTCCTGGGATTGAACCCCGAACCCCGCATCGAGCTCTCTGCTCAGCAGGGAGCCTGTTTCCTCCTCTCTCTCTGCCTGCCTCTCCGCCTACTTGTGATCTCTGTCAAATAAATAAATAAAATCTTAGGGGAAAAAAAAAACAAACAGATCAATAGTCCTAAGAAAGTAAAAAAGTTAAAGTCCTCTAAACTAGATATATACAGAATAGCAATTACACGAAGGGGGGTGGGTAGGAATCCTATTATGCTTCTGTAAACTGGCTTTCATTCTGTGAGTCAGAAAGTCCTGGGCAACAGAAGGAAAACAGTCAGGGGTATGCTATTAAGGGAAAACAATTTTTACAGCTAAATACAATAAATAAATAAATAAATATTTTTAAAAATCCAAGGAGAATAAAAATGACATCGAATTTATGAAACTTTTCACAGGAAGCAGCTAGGAAATAAAAAGGCAGATACTGGTTCTCTAACGTCCTGGTTTTCCTCAAATAGCTTCTCTCATCCATTATTCTTAACTCTATGCTACCATGAAGGATGAGCAATTTTAGCAGTATAATCATGCAGAAGAGGTCTAAAATGTTGCCATTAAATAAACAGACAAAAGAAAAACCACATGTAGATTTTTCAATGATATTTCTAGTCAATATATCGGGAGGAAAAACAGATTAACGCAATTTAAATCACTTATATAAACTGCTAAGCTCTAGCGCTGCAGAATTTTTGCTTACCTGCCACACACCCACAATTGCATTGGCTACTAATATAAGTAAAATTACAAAGGGTTCTACAAAGGCTGTTATTGTTTCTTCACCTTCTTCAAACCAAGCCAAAACCTAAAAAAGAAATGGCATGTGTTAGAACTGTAACGTGTTTTTAGGCTTAGCGCCACCTGACAACCAAAGTGGTGGGCACTAAAGGAACTGCAATACACAAACTCTTCTTACCATCTCTAGAAACAAATGGTGGCAAAATGTAATGACAGCAACAACCAGTTTATTATGTCCCTTGTTCAGAGTAATTCTTGAGAATCAGAATTATACAACTTCTTACTATTCTTCAAAAGCTTACTTAATATTTCACACACTAATTGTTTTAAAATCTAAATAAAATACTTTCGGGGAAATAAAACCCATTCATTTTACATGGATATATTCAGAAGAAATAAAACTTAAATTCTCCATCTTGTTAAAGGAAAAGGCAATCATCTGCAACTTTGCTGGGTTGCTTAATATTCCTACCAAATAATACTAATAGGTATAAATTAATTGTAAAAATCACTTGATCATGGACTCCATATTATAGAGTATTGATAGCACCCCAGTTATTCTCAATGGTATCACTATAAGTCATCTCAAAATTACTCAAGGTTGTTCTGCAATAAGGAATGTATTTTGAAGGTTATCCTCCATATGACATGTAATCTAGCAACACAGCAGTTCAGAGAAGACAGTAGTCTACAAATGTTATTTATATCTAGATACAGAACACTGCCCCAAAGAAAATGAGCAGAAAATGAATTTTATTGTGGTTCTCTTAACTTGTAGCTTTTACATACTGACAAGGTTATGGTTGTGCGAGCTAGAAATTAAACTTCATAACTGAGCAAACTTAAGTTGATAAGAGAACCCAAGAAATGAATCATTAAGAATGATAAAGAACATGGTAAAACAGCCATCTAAATAGTTAAAACCGACTTTTTGTGAAAAACTGCCTATCCAGAAAGGATGTCAAATGTATCTAATGATTCAATCTGGGAGATACGATTTGCCTTTGTTTTTTAGCATTGCTTAAAATGTCTGTATATTTCACAAAAAAATTTTTCTTTAAAAGACTGATTTAATAAACAATGAAAGCACTGGTTTTGATACTTTTTAATACAACCAGATAGGACTCATGGCAATAATGAAACCATCCATGTTTATACTTAGTGGAATAGTATAAAGTGAGCTTTTACACAAATAGTAAACAACCAGAGAGGTAAGACAAGGCCAAAAATGAATTTTCGAAGTAAGATAAGGGAATGATGAATGAACAAGAAAGATCAACCTGAGCAGGAAAAAAAATCAGGAGACACCAGGACCGGGTCCTGAGAGGTACCAATGACCACTGACAGCTAGTGAACTAGGGCAGGCAGAAAACCAGAATGAATATAAATGTTGCCACAGGCTTTCAACAGGGCATTCCTGGTGTTAAGACCAGGCCTAGTGCCAAAATGAGAACTTCTCTAGGAAGTTATAAATTTTGATAGATGCAAGATCACAGCTGCTTTGATACTAGCCTTTCAAACACTTGCCAAGGAGAGCATCTCAGAAATAAGAAAGTTAATTAGCTCTTGGGGGAAAAAAAATCACTCAACCTGATGAGTAACTAGGACCTATGCAAAAGGTCAGTGAGACATTAGCAACTGTAAGATAAGCTTCACACCTTGTTAAAGAGGGTATGAACTTCCCTCTTGGCAGATAGGCCTAAGGAACAAACTTAAAAGTAATTTATCCCCTAACAGTTGGAGCAAAGGGAAGACTACAGCAAATAGTGACAGAACTACCAGAGCAAATCTTTACTTTTCAAAAAATGTGTGGTTGCTCTGCAGAAGTAGAATCCTAATCTGTATAATGCAGTAACCTTTTCTTCCACCATAGGACTTCAAGTGTTTATGTGCAAGAAACCCAAGCAGTCATAATTATTTGATGGTTCCACAAGTATATTAATTACCAGATGATGAGAAACTAGTGGGCAAATCTCTCAGGGTGGAAGGCTGGTGCCAAACCTATTTAAAATCAACAACCATCAATTTCCTGAATACTTTTTTAAATGTCTGTTTTGAAACTACAAAGAACCCAAATAATTAAATGCTACAGCCCAAAGTGAAGATCAATGCATTTGTCATTAACTGATAAGAACTAATCCAGCTGATTATGTTCAGATCATATTATGAAGTCCTTCCTGGTTTGTTCTATTGAAAGGAAACCTAGTGTACATGAGATGATGATGCTGACAAATGAAAGATCCCAGGAGATGAGGGAGTGAAGAGTGTGTGACACATCACCAAAATGAAAGATGCCTTTTAGCATTATACAATAGTCAGTTCATAAATATGGCTTATTGAGTCATACAAAATATGTTCCTATGGTGGGGTAAATGTTTCTAAAATCTTCACTGAGAATACGTTGAACATAAATGATTACCTATTTGTACTGTCTTTTGTTCACCAGGGGCCTAGAAGTGTCTCTGGTACACAGATGATGCTCACTATTACAGGGGCACAAACGAATGAAACAAAATCTCATATAACCTATAAGGTACAAGACCCTGAGGGCAGTATTTGAACTTAAACATCTAGAGCAATAAGTAACCAATTTCATCAACACTTTCAAAGGAAAGTGGAAGAAAAAGCTACTGCAGTTAATTTTAGGCACAGTGTTTCTTCTTTGCTTTGCACTATTAATACAGTAACAATACTTGTCTTCTGGGGCTTATATAATCCAGCAAATTCAAAGTTTCAAATTTGCCAATCCTATTCAGTAGCCACTTACTAATGAATACTCAACTACAACTTAGACTGCTTCAACAGGGTAGTTCAGACTATCTTCTAATTAGCTGTAAAACTGATCTCTGCATATCACAGTAACTTCTAACAGCACAACCAGAAGATGCTGGAGAGTGGAGTTTAAAGAACAAAAGCAAACTTTAAGCCAAGGTAAAAAGGCGTGTTTCAGTGGGAGACAGTCATAGTTCCGTGACTCCATTATCTTAGCTACATGTTGGGATAATGTAATGAGCACTCAATGAGGTCCCCCCCCCAAAAAGAAAGTGAGAGTGATCATAAGCATATTTTTAAGACTTAGGGCACCTGTCTGCATTCCTCTTTGTGTCCTTAGAAACTTGCAAGGACACTGAGTACTCAAATACTTGTTCAACGAATGAAGAAATTTACATAATAAAAGAAGTTTAAAAGAGGAAAAGTTTAACACTTCACAAGAAAGAAAGGCATCACCAATAAATGTTATGACAATTTTCTGGGTTGGGAAACAAATTCTTTTAGCCATTAAAAAAAAAAAAAAAAAGGTAGGATTTGACTACATTCTTTTTTTTTTTTAAGATTTTATTTATTTATTTGTCAGAGAGAGAGAGGGAGACCGAGCGAGCACAGGCAGACAGAATGGCAGGCAGAGGCAGAGGGAGAAGCAGGCTCCCTGCCGAGCAAAAAGCCCGATGTGGGACTCGATCCCAGGACGCCGGGATCATGACCTGAGCCGAAGGCAGCTGCTTAACCAACTGAGCCACCCAGGCGTCCCGACTACATTCTCTTCTGATCCACACAAAAACTTATTTAAAAATACTGGTTTTAGATTTGAGAATACAATCTTCTTACACACACACACACACACACACACACACACACACACACTCACCTTTCAAAACATTTTAAAGAAAGGCTCTAAATAAATTAGTTAAACCAATTAGTGAACTACCCATTCTATCCTTTAAAAAAAAAAGTTAAAACAAAACACAGAGGAAAAAAGTAAAATCATTACAAATATATAAACTACTTCTTGACTATACTGTACTAAGAAAACCAAAGAAACCAGACCTCATATATTCTGAAAATGCTACTAATCCAAGTTCAAATATATTTGTTTTATCAAAATCACTAACCCTGGCTCTAAAAGAAATGAAGAATCCCTTCTAAAGGGTCCAGTAGGAAGGAAAGACACTATTCAAAAACAAGTGACAAGATGAGAAGTGCCTAAGTCTAAGCAAGTTTAAGCAGCATTTTAGGGTGAATCCAAGTAGCTGTGGTGGGGAAATGGGGATGGAGGGTGGAGCAACTTTTGCAAACTGTTACCACAAAGCGCTTTCTGAATTCCGACGAGGCAAATATGGCCCTCCTGCTCATCTCCTTCAGGTCTTTTCTCTAAAGTCACCTTCCTGGAGGACTTTCCTGACCACCCTACGTGAGAACTATACCCTCCTCCTCATACTCTTTTTATTTTTTTAAAAGATTTTTTTTTTTTAATTTATTTGACAGAGAGCGAGAGAGACATCACAAGTAGCAGAGACAGGCAGAGATAGAGGGGAAGCAGGCTCCCTGCCAAGCAGACAGCCCGATGTGGGACTCGATCCCAGGACCCTGAGGTCATGACCTGAGCTGAAGGCAGAGGCTTAACCCACTGAGCCACCCAGGTGCCCCCTCCTCCTCATACTCTTATCTCCCTGCTTTATTTTTCTCCATAGTACTATCACTGTCCAACAGACTACACATTTTACTTGTTTATTATCTGTCTCCACTAGAATGTCGACTCCAGGTTGAGACTTTGTCTATTTTGTTCAAATGCTGTATCCCCAGTGTCTGTGCCACGTCCCAGGTGTTCAATAAATACCTAATGAAGCAGTGAAAGAAAAGAACAGGTATTCCAGTAAGCAAACGTATGATGTATTAAATGAAGGGCAAAGTTGTGACCAAGGAGGATGTAAAGACAAAGTGACAGGACTGTAGCTCATGAATGGCAAATGAAGGAATTTCCAATGTTACTTTATGTGTAGTGGGAGAAATTATAGCTCACTTCTTCCAATCCAAGGAAACTTAAAACTATTTCTACCTGGCAAATATTGCAATTAAACTTTATCCCTACAGGTCATGAGTATAACACATTAATGCAGCTTCCTACAGTTAACAATTTAGTTAGAGATCTGAAACAAATCATGAAAGCCTAATATTTTTTAACTCAAGCAGAACCTGATGATATATCATGTACATATTGTAGGAACTATTTAATTCTCCAAAAGAGTATGAATATTCTACCATGATTTTCGTGTAAATTAGGAATACACTGATCACCACAAAAAAGACTCAGTGATCTTTTAAAAGATAAATAAGGACTGAAAAGGTCAAGAACAATGTAGTATTGTGCCAATTTCACATGAAGAAAATCAACAAAACAGGTCTGATATCCAAAATGTCTTGATCAAACAAGTCAGAGCAAAATAACAGTATTTCCTAAACATTTATTATTTTTGTTTAGCAATCCATGAAATAAAAATGTCACACAGTTCATGTCCAGAGCATTAACTCCAAGTAGTTACTAAAAAGGTAATTCAAATTTCAATTCCAAAATACAGTTCTATAAAGCTATAAAAACCCAGCATCCTACCCTATGATAAAATTAGAGCATTTTAAAAACCCACTTGAAAATGCTTAGAAACTATAAACTCCTTTCTTCAAAATAAAAGTCACACACATCACTAACTCAAAATGTTAATACAAAAGTCATTCGAACTGGCAACTCAAGAGATCCTATAAAACCCAAATGTTCAATAGCCTGTTTATTGGAAATAATGCTGATGTTACAACACAGCCTTAAATAGATATACAGAATAACTCAATAAAAATTTATTTTATCTCTGCCTTGTATATACCAGGTGATTTACTTCTAAGATGTCCCTGATAACCTTACTGAACCCCAGTACTTTAACCGCCAAAGCTGAGGCTACTTCAGAATCATGCAAGTAGCTTAAACATACATGAACATTACACTACCCATAACATAGTATTTGTTTTGCCCCACAACAATGTACTGAAACTGATAATCAAACAGCTCTATTCCTTTATCTTAATCAGTAAAAACAGGAGCCATTTAGGAGGGGTGGCGGTGAATTAATCAAGAACAGACAGACATGTAAGTATGGAGTAATTCAGGACACTGTATGCTTTGCTATGACACTCTCAATTATATTCAATGAAAACCACAGAAAAAAGACTCGTGAGAACTGAATTATTATTAATAACTACATATCACTTAGCCAAGATGGCATGATAGATATATTAAAGTCTCATGTCAGAATCCGTATATACTACTACTCCAAAAGCTCACCTCCTGCCAATTTCCCCCCCTTACCTAAAGAAGTGCCCACTGCTTCCTTCTGATTTAGTTCTCAAAATAGCCTTCTATGATACGGTTGTCATAAAGACTGAGGTAGATTCCTGTGGTTTACAAATGCACAAACAAACAAAAATGAAACCCTGAAACTGTGCCAATTTTGTGAAGCCTGAAAAAGTACTGCACTGGGTGAATTTCATTTCCCATCACAGTTATTATAAGAATACAATACTGTAATTTAAGAACAAAAGTCATCTCATGCTGTTAGGATTAGGAACATCTGTGTCCTATTCATGACCATTCTCAGGAAAACTATCAAGAAGTCCACTGCCCAAGAAAAAATGCAGTAAAAAATTAATATTGAACAGGAAAAAAATGTTAATAACCTAGAAATAACCTCACCAACTCATCACCCTTCTTCTGCTGTAGTTCTTTGCATTTCACCAGTTTCTTAGCAACCATACAGGACTCAAGACAGTAACCACACACAGACCAAGAGAAAATGGATCTGGTTTTGTTTTTTTCTTTAAAAATCTAGAACCAGTTGCACTGAATCTTGTTCTCTCTACCTAGGAGTCACTTAAGACAGGGGTCCAATTTAGATAAATATACCACCCTAAAGGTCAGTGACCAAATTTGGTCAACAGTGGTGCCATCACTGCCGTCATCATTCTTGTCACTGTCAGAAACAACTGTCACCTTGCCATTACCAGGAAGGGAGAGCAACTGGAATATTCCTTTTGTAAGTTCTATTTACAGACTACAAAAGGCCCAACACCATCTTAGTATGATCTTACACAATGGAAGAACCCAAAACAGAAAAGGCTTTCCAACAAAGAACTTTTTGATATTAAAACTGATAAACCACAAAAATTTATAAGACTCTGCCTCATTTTGGAACCAATTTCTAACTGCACTGTAAATGTCAGGCATTAATTTTCCGCACACAAACGGTTCGAGTGTTTTGTTTATAATTTTAAAATACCTAGGTTTTTTTAAAGAATGAAGACACCACTGAAATCTCTAAATATAATGTTCTCACTCAATAGACATGACTTGTTCTTGGTTTTTCATCTCTGAAAAGAACAGAAATTAAGTTTCTTTATACTTACAAAAGATATACAAGCTGCCAGCAATAAAATTCTAACTAGTAAGTCTTCAAACTGCTCAATCACAAGTTCCAGCAAGGTTTTTCCTGTTAGAAACAAACAATTGTTGTAAATGTCATCTTAACAACAGCACACAAAGGGGGGTTAAAAAAAAAAAAAAAAAAGTATTAAGATTACTCACCTTCTTCAGCCGGTAACTCTGCAGAATGTAGAAATTCGCCAGGCAACGTGTCAAGAAGGGGGGGGAAAAATTAGCACGGTCTTTATAAAGAGAATTGCTAAAATTATCAGTCTTCGAAAGACGTACCCAGATCTATGACCCTTCAACCATTTTTAATGAAAACCACACCAAATGGTACCCCAGGAAAATCTGTTGTAACCAATACCTTAGTGTATCCCGAAGCGTAAAATCTCATCGCTATCTAGCAAACAGGGCTACCGAAACAAGGACTTATTTCAGCTATGTCATGACTTCTGCCAGATGTGTAACTTTGGGTAGTACAAGAACGGTTAGAGGCTTTCTCAACTGCAACGACGCCTCATAAACTGGCTGGGGACAAGAAAATGTCTCGCAGGGTTCAACCCAGTTGCAGGAGAACGCGTCCCTCCCTCCAGCGGGGCCGGCTGCTGCGGGTGAGAAGACACCGAGCTAACTGCGTGCGGGGAAGGTCAAGGGCTCGAGGCGCGGGGTCCAGGAGGTACAGACAAGCCCAGAGCCCCCGTCTGCAGTCCCTTCTCCCGCGGGGCCGGCACGCGGGCTCGACCCGCCGGCTGCAGCCCTCGGCGGGCGCTGAGCCCAAACCCACGAGGTGGAGCCCGGTCAGCCATCTTCCCCGGCTCTCGGGCCCGCGCCGGGCCGCGCGGGGCCCCTGCAGTCCCGGAGCCGGGCACCTACCGTTGGAACCCCATTTCTCCTTGAGCTTCTTGACCTGCTCCAGGCTCAGCCCCGTGCTCTCGTTGACGCCGAAGTGGCCCAGCACCTCCTCCACCGTCTTTGTGTGCGCGTTCTCCATGACTGCGGGAGCCCGGCCGGCCTCGCCTCCAGTCCCCGCGGCCTCCTCGCCTCCGCCTCGCACTCGGGCCGCGGGCTCGTGCCACCCCGGGCGCCCAGGCGCAGACTGGCCTCTTCCCACTCCTCCTCCTCCTGCAGCCGCTTCCGCCTCGCCGGGCGCTGAATCACCCCGCGCCCCCTCCCCCAGACAACCGCCCCTCCGGCTGCCCGGCCCTCGCCGGTGCACGCCCCGGGCTCAGCTGGGCGGTGGGGGGCTCCTGACCCTCCCTCCCCTCGTCAGAAGGGAGGGCCTCCTTTGCCCTCAACCGCCCGCCGGGAACGCAGGCCGCGGCCCCCGAACCCCCTCCCGGCTCTCCTGAGGTGATTCGCGGCCCCGCCCGGGCCGGAGGAGGGGGCACCCGGCCGACCCCTGAGGGCAGAACGGAGCGGGGGCGGCGAGCCGGCGGGGTGGCGCGTGGCGCGCTCGCCCTGTTCCCTCAGCTCCGCACCCCCGACAGCGGCGGAGGAAACTGCGGCGAAGGAGAAGGAGGTGGCGTCGGGGACGGCTCCGCGGCGGCTGCTCTAATAGCATTTATCCGCCGCTGCCTCCCCTCTCGCCGCCGCCGCGGCATGTGGACGCCGCTCATTGGCCGAGAGAGCCCAGCGCGGCGTGGGCGGCACGGCCCCGCCCCCTCCCCTGGGCTCCCTCCCTCCCGCGCGACTCGCGCCCACGCCGCCGCGCAGGCCCCGCCCCTCCCGCGCACCGCCCCCAGGAACCCGGATAGAGGCCGGCGCGCGCGATGCCGCGCCCGCGGACGGGTGGAGAGCTAATCTTAAACCGTCCCGGGGCTCCGGTGGTCTTCCATCCCCGCCAGCCCGCTGACACAGAGCCCGGAGAGGTTGAGTGCTCACGGCGGGCTCCCTACACTCGCTGCCCCGAGGAAAACTGCCTGCCCTTCGGGGTGGGCCTGGGGCTGGGGTGGGTGTCTGGGTAGGCGAGGCCGGGGAACCTGGGAACTCGGTCCGCACTGGGCCTCCCGAAACGTGCCCGGCTCGGTGTCCTTGGCTCCTCCGCCCTCTCGCCCTCTGCCTTGCCGGCAGCATTCTGCATCCTAATCTGACTGCTTTAGAGCCCCCTTCAGGAATCGAGGGGAGGAATTCCGCAGTTCACTTCCCACACGGCCCAAATCCCTCATCTGTCGCCTTAGGAACACCGCATCCCACACCCGCAGCCCGGCGCTCCATCGCGCACCAATGTCAGCCCTTCCCCGGCGGGGTCTGTGCTCTGACCGAAGGAATCCCACTCGGGGGAGAGGGGAGGAGGTTTTAATTTGAACAGCCCACACAGCCTTTTGATACATGCCTGCCTAGAAGTCACGGGCTATGCCACCGTTAACTGCTAAAGAATGAGAATTGTGCTAGGAGGTGCTTCACTTGGGCTTTAAGATCAAGGCTATTTTCTAGATTCCACTTCCCCCAATAGGAGAAAGGACTTTAATTCAAAACCTATTCTTAAACCAGAGATGACTTGCTCCAGAAGTCTGTAGGAAACCTAGGTAACAGCAAAATAAAGGGCATTTTGCTTATGTAAAGTTAGATTACTTAACAGGGAAAGGGAACTTTGCGATGAATTCATGAACAAAAGGGGACCATATTCACATCACAAAGAGCAGCTTTCTTAGGGGAATATGTCGCAGAATGAAGCTTTTAGTCTACTTTTGTGTTTGGCAATAGTGTACGATTGGCATGAGCCATAGCAGAGAAAAAAAAAAAAAAAAAAAAACACCTCAGTTGTCCCAGATGGCTCTGCTCAGGACTTAAGATGAATTCCTTCAGCAGATGCAAATCACAGTATATTACCCAGCTGAAAAAATCAGTCACGTCATTTCATTTAATTATTTCCAAGGAGTGGAGGCTGGCATGCAGTTTTGATTGATACTTGGAAAAGGACCAACAAAACCCTACACGAAATAAACAAACAAAATTCTAGTGTATGGCAATGCGCTAAGAGAAGCAAGGTGGAAACTGGTTAGGTCACAGAATTGGAGCCTCCTCCTGGAGGGACACGTGATCATGTGGTGGGGGTGTGGTAATGGAGGGCTGGTGGTTCTTTTCCCTCTGAGAACAGGTCTGCACCATTGCTTCTGCCTCACCTCATCTCTTTCAGCAACAATAAAGGTACTATAAGCTGAAGGATTGGTAACTCTCTTAGCCTGGAAATTATCTTAGCCACTTGACTTTGGGTCTCTGTTCCATGGCTCCATGGATCCTTGCGGTTGTAAGCACCTCTGGTATGATCATGAGGTTTTTTAAGGGGTTCCCAGCATTGGCTGTTGTATTCAGTGGTCTTCTTGGGATTGTCACGTGCCTAGTTCCATCTTATCATTCAGCACTCACCTTGAAAGAGAATGTCATCTCCTTGAAGATGTCTTGGCTGACTACTTAAAGTGGCTACCTTTCCCGGTCACCCTTGCTCTCACATTGTTTTATTTTCTTCATGGCATTTATCTGCAATACTGTGGGGGGTTTTTTTTAGCTGTCCACTGTCGGTCTCTACTAACTAGAATACAGTCTCCATGAGAATATGGGTTTGTCTGTCTTGTCCATCCTCAGGATGTGGAATGGTCCCTGGTATACTTTCATCATTTACTGAATGCCTGCTGTTGCAGTTATGAGTTCCACCATCCCTGATCCATCGGTGACTTGCAAACGGCCTCCGCACGGGAGAAGCCTCAACAAATCAATCAACAAAGTTCATTGATTTCCAATTCGTGAAATAAACAGGAGGGCCTCCGAACTACTCGCCTCATGGGAATGGCCGTGAAGGTTAGTCAGGTTTAACAAATACAAAACGAGGCAGCATTAAAGGCTTCTCAGAGAGGAGTGATGTGTAAGTTCACATTGGTGCTGTTACCACATTGTCATCACCTCCTAGACTGTTCTTTGCAAATCTGCTATTTGCTGGAGGTTGGAATACTCCTTTAAACCGAAACTGTGATTTTTTAGCCTGGAGTTGGTCCCTTTTATGTCACATACCATTTATGTGCTTGATTCATCAACCTGTGGGTATCGCTGAAATTTTTGTTTATAAGTAGCCAAAATTTAGCATAAAGCCAGCCTCTGAAGGGCAGAAAAATCAAGTTTCTCTTATGTAGAAATAAACTTGGGGCGCCTGGGTGGCTCAGCTGTTAAGCATCTGCCTTTGGCTCAGGTCATGATCCCTGGGATCGAGCCCCCCATCATCCAGATCCCTCTTCAGAGGGAAGCCTGCTTCTCCCTCTCCCACTTCCCCTGCTTGTATTTCCTCTCTTGCTGTCTCTCTCTGTGTCAAATAAATAAAATCTTTTAAAAATCATAAACAAAAAAAACCCCTTATGTTCAATTTACTTTGCGTGTTGAACTACATGTGCTTCTCCTGAACAAGGTTAAAAAAAAAAAAAGTAACAATTGGTTTTGGAAGTACTCTATTGTCTACCAAAGATTGCAGCTATTTTCAATCAATTGAGGACAGGGAGGGGAGAAAGAAGAGAAACAGTGATTCAGAATGATGGATGATTTGATCAAAGAACCTCAAAGGAATTAATAAAGGAGGACATTACCTAGTAATAGGCAGACTAGTTTCAAAGCTAGGCAGACAGAAAAGGCCCAGTAAAAAAGAGTGACCTGGAAAGGAGGCCCCAGACAACTTCCTAACCCTCTACAGCCCTCCTGTAGAGCAATGGAGATTGCAAAAGGCAGTCTGTTCCATATTTGGACAGCTTTAATCATTAAAGTAGGCTCATTCTAGGCTGAATCCACATCCCCTAACTAACTTCCCCTATATATTGTTTCTTGGTTGTTTTTTTTTTTTTAAGATTTTGTTTATTTATTTGACAGACAGAGATCACAAGTAGGCAGAGAGGCAGGCAGAGAGAGAGGGGGAAGCAGGCTCCCCACTGAGCAGGGAGCCTGATGTGGGGCTCCATCCCAGGACCCCAAGATCATGACCTGAGCTGAAGGCAGAGGCTTTAACCCACTGAGCCACCCAGGCGCCCCTATATTTTTCCTTGTTTAGCCCTCTGGAACAACGCTGAATAAATTTAACCCCTCTTCTGTGTGAGATCCCTTTGAGTATTTCAAAATATCTGTGGTGCTTTATAAAGACTCTTTTCTCAGGTAAAAGAAACATCTCGGTTCCTGAGCTGTTCCTCCTAGAGCAGGAGTCTACAACCCCTCAGCATGCTTATTGGCCAGTCTTGGAGACACCCAACACGGTAGCACAAAAGTCTAGGCATAGTCTTGGAACAAAGCCCTAGTGGAGGTACCACTATCCTCCCTTGTTCTGATTCTTTCCCCCCGAACATTGTTGATTTATCTTAACAATCAACTCAAAACTGAATCCTGTATACATAAACTACAGTCTTATTAAATCTTCCCATCGTGTACTTGCACTGTTGATTCTTTTTAACCCAGGCACTGAACTCTGACTATAACGGAATGTTCTCATGTTCATTTTGGTCCTTGCAGTCCGCTGTGGGTTTTTTTGAGTTTTCATCTTCAAGACATATTTTATCTCTATGTCCCAGCTTGGGTTATGCATAAATCTGGAAAGTATAACTTACAACTTTGATATCTTTATCTAATAGAACGTCTAGACATTCATCCCAGATCAGAAAATAATCAATCAACTGGATTTAGTTGTTCAACAGCCATAATGTCAACTTGGCTACAGGTTCCAAAGTCAGGAAAGTGAAAATCCTAGAATGTACTCTCTTGCCTCTCTGTCTCCCATAGTACTCTGTTATACAACAGTGAACAGACTATTCTTTCTGTTGAGCACCTGATGTAGTCAACTTGACTTAAGGATCATGTTATGTGAAAAGTACATATTTACATGCTAGACTCAGAACAGCAAGCTGTTCACACTGAGAGGCAGGTGGGAACTAAGGCTGTCCAACTCAGTCACATCTGGCATCTCTTACTGACTCTGGAACATATGCACGTTGAGTAAAGAATGGACAGAATTCAGGTGCCTGGGTGGCTCAGTCCTTAAGCATGGGCCTTCAGCTCGTGTCATGGTCCCAGGGTCCTGGGGTCGAGCCCCCCACATCGGGCTCCCTGCTCTGTGGGAAGCCTGCTTCTCCCTCTCCCACTCCCCCTTCTTGTGTTCCCTCTCTTGCTGTGTCTCTGTCAAATAAATAAATAAAATCTTAAAAAAAAATTTTATTTATTTGACAGTCAGAGATCACAAGTAGGCAGAGATGCAGGCCGAGAGAGAGGAAGGGAAGCAGGCTCCCGCTGAGCAGAGAGCCCAATGTGGGGCTTGATCCCAGGACCCTGGGATCATGACCTGAGCCAAAGGCAGAGGCTTAACCCACTGAGCCACCCAGGCACCCCTAAATAAATAAAACTTAAAAAAAAAAAAAAAAGAATGGACAGAATTGCTGCAATAGTAAAATGTTTTGTTATGTATATTAAAGTCTCTTCAGGTAACCATGGGATGTTAGTCCACTGTGTTATTATCTAGCCCACATTTCTTAACTTGCTCGTAAG